GGAAGGCATCCGCGTCCTCATCTGCTAACGGCAATGCTGGCGGCGGCGGCGGCAATAGCAGTAGCATCAATGGCAGTAGCGCCGTCCTGTTCAGCCATGTGCTGGTGGACGAGGCCGGCCAGGTGCTTTCCTGGCCGCGGAGGGCTCTGGGAGGGCAGAGTGGGACGGGGTTAGGATGGGAAATGGAGGGGGGCCTCCTGGCGAATGTCATTTACGGCTTTTCAAAACTTGACTGGATTATGTTCCCCGTCCGTCTGTCCAGTGAAAAAAGTAAAATATAATGTATTTTTTAATTTTAATTTTTTAAATTCTTTAATTTTTATTTTCAAATCCGCCCTCCCCCGGTGACTCCTCGCAGGCCCTTCTGCCCGAGGTACTCATCCCGTTGACGCTCCGAGCGCCTGGAGGTACGGCTGGGGGACCGGGGACGTATTGTCGTACACTCGTCGGTGAATACTGACTGTGCGGCATTTCTCATCCGGTGCCCGGACTTCGCTCCCCTGACCAGCAACCACGCCAGGCGCTGTGAACCCAGGAGCAGCTAAGGCAACCGCTGTACGGCGGTTTGGTCGTGTGATTATTAAGGAAAGGATTTCTTACCTCCCCACACGTGTGTTGGTCTATGTGCCTGTTTCGCCGTACGTGTCATGTGTCGTACAGGTGCCGCCATGCTGTGCGGGGACCCACGCCAGTTGGAGCCTGTGGTCCGCAGGTACGGCATAGAACTTGGCGTACGACAGGTAGCATGCGACGCGGCGTCACTGCCCCGGGAGCCGTACAACTCCTGCTCTCCCGCTAATCAACCCCTGCCTAGCTATAGCACGCCATGCCGTGCCTGCTGTGCTTCCACGGGTCGGTTTGATTCGGACCGAATTCCATCTCGAAATTCAATTTCCTCAAGTGAACGAACGAATAACTAGTGCCTCATTCTTTATAATGCTATTATAAGCTTCCTGATAGCTTCCAAAACGTTAGATAATGTCTTCTGTATGTTAGGGCATTCCGGGCACCATCCCGCCTTGGCACTACTGTATGATGTGTGGGACGGGGGTGTATATCTTCACCCGTGGCCGCTACCTGGCGAAACCCTGCCTTCCCCGGTATTTCGGAGAACCCTATTATCTAGGTTCCGCACCCACCTCCGACATTCCAATGGAATTTGCCGAACCGACGGCGAGTTAACTCTATTCCTGTCTTATTTTGCCCCAGATCAGAATCCTCCTTAGACTAGGGTCACCTCATCGTATACTATCAGAAGGATTATTCGACCTTTACAGGTCTCGATCCCGGGATCTCCCGGGGGCATTGATGCGTGCTCTACCAGTAGTGCCAGACCTAAGTATGTATCTTGTTACAGGGTGGTTAAGCTTCACCAGCGGCCCCCTTTCCCGAGGCAGTTCCCTGCTCTCCCCTGCGAGAGGGGCACCCTAATCCGTTCACCCCATCCGACTTCAGAATGTATTCGTTGGGTTCAGCAACTCACCACCAGCATCCAACCAAATCTAGCGGATCAACGGCGCCTGAGTATGTATACTGTTAACTTACTACTGTATTTATGCCCTGTATTAATAATATTATTATTTATTATTTTATTATTATTATTTATTATTATTATTTATTATATACCCTAAGTAAAATATGGTTAAAACATATGTTTTTGTTGCCGATCTTTTTGTGTCCCGCTCCCTCCACCAGCGCATCTGCCGCACGTGGCGGTCTGGCCACCTCCCTCCTGGAGCTGATGATGGAGGCGGCCGGACGTGAGGGCCACCTGGACCGAGCTTGAGCAGTCGCTGGGCTTGTGGAGGAGAAGGTCGCCAAGATGACGATGACGGCCGCAAGGGGCCATCAACAGCAGCGGCAACAGCAGCGGCAGCAGCAGCAGCAGGTGGCGCAGCAGCAGCCACTTCTAGCAAACCACCAACATCAGCACGACTACCACAACTACCACAACCAAAACCTCTGCCAGCACCACTGCAAGCACCACGATGCTTTTTCGCGGCTCCGCGGGGTCGTGTTGGTTTGGAATTACCGCAGTGCCGCCCCCCTCCTGGACCTGCCTAGCCGCCTGTTCTACGACGACCAACTCAAGGTGGGTCGGGGGGTCCTTTGCCATAGTCCAGTAGGTACAGACGTGGTGGGGCTCGTGGGTTTCGTGTTTTCGGTTCTGGATAATGTTTGTTTATTTACAAAAAAGCGCTGACGCAACACTGAGAGGTCACTGGTTCAAGACCCACTCCCAGATATTGCACATCTGCTGTTGCCCCGTTTAGTCAACGGAGCCATTAGCGATCTTCAACATTGAGTCTACCTGGGTGACCTGGGTGATGGCAAGGAGGAGGTATGCGGACACCACACGCACCCCCGCACCCCTTACCAGCGGCCGTGCGTGGCCCCACTCCCGGCCCCGGGCCCCCCTACCATCGCGGCCCGACTTGTGACAGAGCTGATTCTCAACACATATATATATATATATATATATATACAGTATATATACTGTATATATACAGTATATATATGTATATATATTATATACAGTGGCCTTTAAGAAGTACGGATGGGTTGACTTACCTTGGCTTCAAGCCAAATTGTAGATGCTTCGATGTATAAGTGTATATACATAATATTAGAGACTGCATATATTAGCTAATTATATAGCTGCCGCTGTGCCCTTCAGCTACCGCTGTTGCCACACGGCCATATTAACCCCTGTGCCGGTCATTACTCATCGCACGCCCTTTAGGCTTGTGTCGACGGCCAAACAGCTCGTCCTCCGGAGTGGGAGCTGCTCGTACAGCCCTCGGCCGCCGCCGGGGCTACAGCCGCCGCGCGAGATGGCACCGCGGGTCTGACGCCGCCTGTTGGTGCGCATGCCAGCGGCAGCGGCGGCGGCAGTAATGCAGCGACGGCGGGGGCGACGGGGGCAGTAGCGGCGGCGGCGGGGGCTTCCGTCGTCATGGACAGGAGTCCTGGTCGAGTGGAGCCCCGAGTGGGAGAGACTGCTGCTGCTGCTGCGGCGGCGGCGGCGGCGGCGGAGGAGGCGTTGGTGGCTCCCTCCCATTTGCTCTTCTATGGTGTCCGGGGACAGCAGTATCAGGTTGTGGCGGTTGTGGCGGTTGTGAGGGGGCAGTTGGCTCCTTTGGAAGTGAAAGGAAGGGAGTAGGGGAATCTGTGATGGTAAAGACTCGCCCCCCGAGAGGAGTTAGGACGAGTTCCAGACAGGAAGGAGGAAGACTCCTCGAGGTCGAGGAAAAATGTTATAAAATGTTGCCGTACTGGCGTACCGGCTAGCAACATGTGTTCCCAATCACAAGGGTTACACCCCTCATGGGCCGTACATGCGGCCAGAACAAGGTCAGAACCTAGGCCTAGGGCTTGAGGCTTGAGGCTTAGAGGATCATACCTCCAAAGCTATCATCCCATAAGGCGAACAGAAGACGGCAACTTAACAAATTATAATATTCCTTTGCGCTTTTCTGACGAATAAAACAAAAAAGGTTAAATCATTAACACCTTTCCGAACTGTTAAATGCGGTTAAGCTTTTCCTAACCACTAACTCCCAACTGTTTCCACGTGCACCATGCTTACCACCGCCGCGAGCTGGCGGGCCCAAGCCGTCTGGCCGGCCTCTAGTCGCTGCCGCGAGGCTACCCATTGACCGCCACCATCGATGCCGCCGTATGGCGTCCGGATGCCAGTGAACCCATGGGTCAAGAAACCGTTGCCGCCGCCTGCGGTGACGGCACTAAAGGCGCCGGCGGCGGCCATGTAATCATGGAGGTCCTGGAGCTGCTGAACCGCGGGTTTGCCCACACCTTCCTTCTGAGCCCACTCCATCGTAGCCGCCGCCGCCAGAGGCAAACGAAAGCAAAGGTTGATTTAAAAAATATATATGTGGATGTATAGGGCCCGCCACGCCCACGATCCGTATTTGCCCGCACAGCACTCATTTGTATCCACCACCCTTGACCGCCTTGAGAACACATCGCCCGTCGCTGTTTAGTTCATTGTTCCATTCCGCCGCAGCAACCGCCCCCAAAACCACAACCATCAGACATCCAGGGCTGACATGCTCCGAAAGGAGCACGTAAGATGCCCTGCGAGAAACGACAAAGGTGCCAGCTGACATCGAGATGGATTCGATGATGAAGCAGATGAAACCCGATTATCGGTGCGGAGGAGCTTCGGGAACTGGGAGGGTGCAATGCATCTCTGGAAGCCACACGAAAGTGCGCGAAGTGAGCTAATGCAGGGCAGGGAAATTGCTAGAAAGAAACTAGGAAAGTGTTTCCTGCGGACCATTTGCAACAAGTACCGGTCCTGGGTAAAAACCATCTAGGTAAAACTTATCGTGGCTTCTGCTTAACAGTGAAGCTGTATGTGATGCAATTCGCAAAATCAACCAGGATACCATGCAGCAGCCAGACCACGCCCAAGCAAGATGCCGTGACACTTCCCTATACCTTTGTAGCCCCCTCCCACGAATACAAGTTGCAACCCTTGCAAGCAAAAGACATGTAGGTCACAAAGGATGCAATTCTCGGCCTGTGTGACCTGAGGCGTTTAAGGTCCATTTATGACTTTTGCCATAGACATAACAAATTGCAGCATTTCGAGGTTTCCGAGGTTTACCGGAGGCTTCGCGAGGTTTCGCAGGAAGGCTATAAATCGGAAACTTTTTCGCAGCCGCAGTACAGGTTTACTGTGAGCACGCTCTGGCGACCTTGTGGCCTCCTACACAATTGAGGCAAATGTCAGCAGCACACAGGGTCCAGATCTACTTCGACATGGTCTCCATTCGGCAAGCCCCGCTTTCTGTGGGGGGCGAGGACGCCAGTCAATTAGTAGCTCTTTGACAAATCGACAGTAGAGAAGCACGCTAAGACCGAAGACTCACTAGGACCTCCTTTCCGCTCCGAAACCTCCGAAGTTCCGGCAACTCGGTACATCTGTAATTGCAAGAGTAACAGAAGTTTACCACATATGTTTATCATAACTGTCTAATTAACCGTTTTGTGTAACGTAGCAGCAAGTCACAGCTTTTCCTCTCTGAAACAGTACTTCTCAGTGTTGCGGTTGAGCTCGAGAGCAGACCGGGTGACTTTCCTGGCTAGCCTGGTTAGCGCATGTCATTGGATCCTCGGTCGTGTAGTCTGTTCCAATGCCTACAATACGTGAAGCACTCGCTGCAGTCCGCGGAGAGACCGAAGCCACGGTTGCTCCCATCCTTCAAGCTCTACAAGCTGAAGGTTTTGATGTGGACGCTGAGGCGGGAGACGCGTTTTGTCTTCTTGACGTTAATTATCTGCGATCACACCTTAATCTCCGGCAGCTTACCGCCCTGAAGGCAGCCATCAAAAGTAAGCATCAGTAAATGCTGCTATGCACACTTGAATGGGGTTGGCCGTGAGGCCGGTTGTCTTTTGGTACGTCTGCAGTTCGGCTTGCGACTGATCGCCTGCGGACTGTGTCCATTAGGGTGTCGGAGAAGTTTTCTGCATAAGCGAGGATTTCTGTCCTACAGCCGGTATCGTAGCCAAGAGAGGTCTTGCTGTGATGGGTGATCTTTCGTAGACCTGTTTGCAGTGGACGAAGCCACTTTTGCATTTCCGCAGCCGAAGGGTCACAGTTCGTTTTCAGGGCTTCGTTCAAGTTTCAACATCAGCGTATATGTGGCAGGGTGTGTCGCCTTCAGGACTAAAAGCTTTGTCACCCGAGGCTGTAGCCTCTTAGGGAGAGTGTGCCGTGTGGACGCTTTACCGCCGGCTGTAAAAAGTACAGCACCCTGCACCCTACCGTGCAGCTGTGCGCCCCATTGTGATAGTGGCCCCCCTGCATGTTGGTCGTCAGACAACGCTCTGCACGTTGTCTGGCGACCGTGTCTATGATGTGCGTGCACGCTGCATGTGTCTATGATGTGCGTGCACGCTGCATCGTTGTTATGTTTGATGACTTAATGCTGCTCATGTTGTACAGCGTGGGTGTTCCAGTGACCCACCCTGCTCACCCTGCCGTGGGCCTGCCGCCTGCAGGCGCTGATGCTGGCACCAGCAACGCTGCTGCAGGTGAGCCTACTGTGCCTGACGTGGGAAGGGGGGGAACAGGTTTTGTGGGCTTGGTGTGCCGTTTCATTTAGGGGTGGAAACTTACGGTGTAATAGACTTTTTGGACCAAAAGTTATGCAAAGTGTAAAGCGTAAAGTGTCAAATACCTTATTGTTTGTTTACGTTTACAAGCTTCAAGCTTGTACGGTCCAGACGAGCCAAAAGGCTCATGAACCGCCAAACTGGAAACAGGAACTCAAAAAAGAAAAATGCCAATACCCAACAATAACAGATTGATTAATCTTCAACGTACTGCAACCTGCATCTTCTAATGTCGTCCAGGACGCACGCTAAACCGCGTTAATCCTTGACACCCATAATCTCGATCATGCGGTCCCCAGGAGTAACCCCCAGGTCCCAAAGCTTCAAACGGATATTCGCATACGCAGGACAATCTAGCAGCACATGACATTCATCTTCAACAGCTTGCTGGTTCCCACAGACCCGGCACCACCGGGCAGACCGTTCCCTACCGTGCGGTTGATTAACCGCCAAAGGCCAAATACACATCCTGAAACGCATCAGCATGACGTGCTGTTTTGGCGAGATATAGCCGCTGCCATGCTTGGGCAAACCCATCCAATGCTTATAGCGGCACATCTTTACCCCTGGTTGCCTATTATCTGAAACAAACAAAGCTGGATCCACTGTCAACCGCTCACTTTCTCAGTCATCATCAAATCGGCTCCTAAGTTCACAGATCAACTGGCCTACATCTAGTGAACGTGTCGCCAGAGCATCAACTTTGACCTCAAAGTCGCCTGAGTCGTCCACACCCGTCCGCACGTTATGACCCATCAACTCAAGGATCTTCAGGACTTTCGCTCCCCATCCATCATACGTCATCCCAGATGATAATGCCAACCGCAGTTCCTCCCGAAAGTAATGGTGGTACATAGAACCTTTTGCCTCAACCAACCTGTTCCAAAAACGAAAAATCAGGTTTGCCCAATGCACTTGCAAAGGGTATTGACCCAACTCTCTGAATAGTAGCCGATTTGTTGGCAAGCCAGCACCACTCAGCTGCTTCAGGAAGTTCTTCTGCAGTTCCACCATCCTGTCCTGCAGTGCAACCTCAAAATAACACGATCGTGGTTCCTGGCTGTTAGGGTAACCGTGCTCCAGGATGTCCAGAACCCTTAACGGGCCCCAAACCTGTACCCTGTACGACAGAACAGACAGAACCTGGGCATCAAACGCTTTCACCGCAACAGCTGGGACAAAAAGCCCTTGTCGCTTAAGCTTACTAACCAGTGAGAAGAGCGCCTTCTGGCCTGATGCAAACAACTCATCTGTGCACGATTCGAAAGTTGTACCCGGTCCATAATGCAGGCCCAAATATCATGCGCGCTCCTTCCAAGGTAAACTCTTGAGCGCGTGTCCCGTAGCCTCCTTCACACTCATGGTAACAAGCCCGTACAAACCCAAAACGTGCATAGCCTTGCGTGCCTCCAGGTCCTGATGAAAATACAATACCTCACACTTTCCCACATTTACTCTCATGCCAAAAGCTTCGCACCATTCCTTTGTGCGGCAGCTGGCCTGGGCCTGGGGATCCCGGCAGGAGCTGGTGAGTGTACTTTGCAAGGTGTAGGATACATGTAAAATATCGACCTCACTTTTGAGATGCACATGCAGCTAGCACATGGATAAAGTGTCCAGTGCGGCTGCCTCTGCCAACTGCCCTGCAAGCCCCTATCTGACCTTGCCAGCGACCTTGTGCCCTGCTCCCTGGGTGATGGTGCAGGTGCACCAGCTCCAAGGCGGCTGGTGGATAGTGTGGCTGAGCTGCACTACAACAACGACATCGTGGAGCTGCATTTTAGCGACTCAAAGGTGTCATATGTGGATGTGGCAGGAGTGGTGGTGAACCGCATCCGCTTATGGGCTAAAACGGCCATGTTGGCCGCGGTGGAGAAACACCGGGCAAGAGCTCCCTCAATCTTGCTGGTCTCGGGGCTCGTGAAGGTATGCTGTTTTGTTGCACCTCAAGTGCCCATCCTAGGTGTCTTGATCCACAGTGTGACTCCATGTTGGTGCCTCAGCACAGGACCATGCACAATGCTTGAGTGCAACCCTATTCAATGTGCATGCATGTTGCAGACGGGCAAGTCTTTCACCCTGGAGCACGTGGTTCCCGCGGTTGTGGCGGAATTGCTGCGCAAGCAGGGAGAGAAGGGCCCCTTGGCGGGCATGGTGGTCCTGCGCCTGAGTGGTGCTGCACTCTACCGGCAGGCAAGTGGGTGTCAATTATTGGAACATACTCAGAGGCTGCTGAAGCATTACTGTTCCATTCTGCTGTTTTTGTGAGCATGGCATGAGCGTGCTGCAGAGGCATTGGTTGCCAAAGGCTTGATTTGATGTGAATGGGAGCTAGCTGTGAGGGTGGTGGCACAAATGGTGTATTCTGTCAACACCCTGCATGCAGGATGGTGCTAAGGCCATGTTGCAGGACCTGCTGGGTGTGCTGCTGAGATGGGCACGCAATGAGCATGTGCCCATGCGGGAGGGTGCACTGGAGGCTGCAGAGGATGTGCAGGATAGAACCCACCTCGGCACGCTGGGCCACGCCATCCTGGAGTTCCTGGAGGCGGTGGAGGTCCCGGTGCTGGTGCTATGCGGTATGGGGTCATGCTGATGGAGGCTTTATGATGGGGCTCCTCTCAATGGCTTTCTTGCTTGCTTGCCATACCATTTTGCACGGTGAACTAAGCCATCCTCATGGCAGCAACTTGGCTGCTTTACACAACCATTTGCATGCAGATGTCCAGGTGCAAGTCGCAAGCCTGGTTACTTCTTGTGAATTTTGAAGTACATGCTGCATATTCAACTGCACAAACACATGGGTGAAGGTGGACACACTGATTCTGCTTGCTCCTTTCACTACTACCCTTTGGGCATACTGACAACTTCTGCATCCAACACTTCAATGTGCTTCTGGAGCTTTTACTAGACTGCCTGCACCTGCACCTGGGCTGAGCCCCACAGTACTTGTTTGGTCCCTTCACCCTGTCGTTTCCAATCTCCAATGATATACTCTTAATATGCCTCCTCACTGTGTTGCTGCTTGCCTCCTTATCCCTGCCACTCAGATGAGGTGCAGAGCCTGTTCATGCCAACCATCAATGGCAAGCTGGACATGAACGGGGCTGCATATATCCGCGACACCTTCATGAAGCAGCTGCTGGTGTATGGCTCCCACACCATGCTGTGGTGCATGACCGGCAGCTCCATGGCGCAGACCTGGATTAGCCTGGCCGACATGCCGCCCAATGGCTACATGGTCATCACCAGCGCCAGTGCCGTGAACCTACCGGCAAGCTACAGGCCCGAGCACATGAGCCTGGTGTGGGAGCTGCTGAAGGGCTCCCATGCGTCCGTTGTGACGCTGGACCCCAGGCTTCTGGAGCTCTGCCCTCCATCCATAGCACTCCTGACGGTCCTGGTGGGCGACTGGATCAATGCTGGATGCCCCGAAGTGGCGGCCTTCGTCCCTACATTCATGAGGACGAAGCTCATTGATGAGGTAACCTGTGGCACACCCATCTCAGGGCCTCCATGTGCTTCATCTTAGCAGTGTTTGTGTTGTCTTCATGCACTGGGGCCAGTTGCTGTAGAGCTGGCATTAGAATTGGCTGCACCAATCCTTCATGGTTGGACCCAGTACTACTCACCTCAAATCTTGCCTTTTTATCTGGCGCCCACCCATTGAATCTCACTATGTACCTCAGTCTCTGAAGGAGTGGAAGCTGGGCCTGGAGGGCATGCCATTGTCACAGCGCATCACTGTGCTGGACTTGGCGTTTCCGGACGTGGGGGCGCGGATCGACACAGATCTGCACTCTGGCTTACAGCGATTTCTGGCGCCATACCTGGTTAGGAAGAATGATGGGTGCTACTACTTCCGCGACGCGCACCAGCGTCAGATTGTGCAGGTGAGGGGGGGTCTTTCACCATGTGCCCAAGCCCCTTCTCCCCCGCCCCATAGAGCTGACTAAACACTGCAAAAGCTCAGTTCTGGGGCAAGTTCAACTGCGTTTGTATATCATCCTGCTTCCCTGTTTTGCTGTGGACCCCCCTTCCCATGTTGGTGCTAAGTGCATGCCATGCCACCCTTGCCCTGCTTGCCCGCAGTTGCTGATCAATGAGGATGGCACACTGCGAGAGAGCTGGAGCAGCGCGGAATTCAGTGCCAGCCTGATGCAAAAGGACACACTGTGGAACCTACTCCGCCTTGGTGAGTCAGCCGACTACCTGCTTGGGCCCCATGCAAGCCGCCGGTGGGAGTGTCAAAAGCCACCAGCTGGGATGGATGAGTTTAAGGCCAATTTGCAGGTAATTCCATAGGCTGCAGGGCTTGGGGTCAGATTTAGATGGGAGAAGCACTACATGCAGATGGTGTTTGTGTAGAATGGGGCCTTAGGTAGAAGTTTGTGCTTGCACCGCAGTGTAGTTGTCCATTGGTGAGTCTCCATTGCAGCTCCTATCTTTGTGGGGGTGTGGGTGTTGGCGCCCTTCTATGCTATTGGGAAGTCTTGTGTCACCACTCTGCAGTGTGCATTCTGCACATATTGGTATGCCTTTTATGGGTTATGTGTGTGCTGGCAGGATGCCTGTCAATTGGTGTGCATTGATTCTCAGACTTGTCCAGATAGTTACCAGTGGCTAACACCTACATACAAGCCTACACACACTCTTATACCCCATGTATCCCATACACTCAACATGCAACATCAAAAATTCATGCATGCAGGCTATCGCAGACAAGACCGCCACCAAGTTGGCAAGCGACCAGGGTGGCGTGGTGTTGGGCCCTCAGGAACTGTGGGAGCGGCAGTCTTGGTTCCAGAAGGTGCTGTCATCGAAGTGGAATGACCGTGACCGTGCTAAGTCCAAGGACTACAAGCAGGCGCGGTGCACTCACCTGGCCATGCTGGTGTTCTACCTGCGGTAGGCTGGCTGGCTGTCCTGCTTCCCTTCTTGCTACTTGCTGCCTCACCCATGCAGCCTTGTTGGAGTGTGCTGAATACCATGAGCGAATACCATGTGCTGGCTGAGCCAGAGACCCATGGCCATCTGACCCAGACCCGTTAACTGCTGCCTGGTATCCACATGTGCAGGCTGAGCCGGAACATACTGGTCCATGGGAAGCCTTGGGATCAGGAGCATGACATCCGGATGGATGTAATCGAGGTGCTGCCCAGGGTGCTGGGACAGTCCTTGTCAGACTTCAATCAAGACATCGTGAGTTTGCTGCATGTGCTGTCACGCCGCACCATGGAAGAAGACACACAGTTTCATGCACAGCTATCAGGCGACGGCGGCAGCAGCATTGAGGGGTTGACTGGTGATGAGAGCAGCAGCAGTGGCGGCCTGAGCGGCAGCACTGGTGGCAGTAGCAGTGGCGGCCTGAGGGGCAGCACTGGTGGCAGCAGCAGTGGCGGCCTGAGGGGCAGCACTGGTGGCAGCAGCAGTGGCGGCCTGAGCGGCAGCACTGGTGGCAGCAGCAGTGGCGGCCTGAGTGGCAGCACTGGTGGCAGTAGCAGTGGCGGCCTGAGGGGCAGCACTGGTGGCAGCAGCAGTGGCGGCCTGAGGGGCAGCACTGGTGGCAGCAGCAGTGGCGGCCTGAGGGGCAGCACTGGTGGCAGCAGCAGTGGCGGCCTGAGCAGCAGCACTGGTGGCAGCAGCAGTGGCGGCCTGAGTAGCAGCACTGGTGGCAGCAGCAGTGGCGGCCTGAGGGGCAGCACTGGTGGCAGCAGCAGTGGCGGCCTGAGTGGCAGCACTGGTGGCAGCAGCAGTGGCGGCCTGAGTGGCAGCGCTATTGGCAGCAGCAGTGGCGGCCTGAGCGGCAGCACTGGTGGCAGCAGTAGTGGTGCCCAGTGTGGCAGCAGCTGGGGCGCCTGGCATGGTGGCAGCAGGGGCGCCTGGCATGGTGGCAGCAGGGGCGCCTGGCATGGTGGCAGCAGGGGCAGCAGTGGTGAAAGGCGCGGTGACAGCGATCGAATGGCGATGGCTGACAAGTGTGCACCTGCTTGCCTGGGCCCTGTGGCAGGCTGTGGTCAGCACAGGCCGCTGGTTCACATCACTGGCAGGCATGGGGTGTGGGGGCAGGGAGGGCTGCAGGCAGCCACACTTGCACTGCGTCGTCTTCACCTGCCGCATGTCTTCACTCCCGTGAGCATCTCTGCCACTGCTGCTGCAACGGGCTTCGCTTTTCTGTGGGATGCTTGGGGTTCGAAATTGTAGGAAGTGTTGTTGGTGGTGATGGTGGGCGAGGGCTGGGTGGGAGAGGGCTGGGTAGCAGCAGGCTGGGTGGAAGAGAAGATGGAGGCAATGGGCTGGGTGGCAGTGGCGACGGCAGGCAAGGGCTGGGTGGGAAACAGCTGGGTGCATGTGTACGTATGTATGTACAGCATACATCCTCACATTGCATTATTGTACATTGAACATGCATGTCGTGCGCTTCCTCGCTTGTGGTGCACATCCAGAGATGGATTACCTGATTTGGGGTTCAGAGGAAAACTCTTCCAACACTCCTGCTGCTGCTCAGAGGTTATTATTTAAACAGGGTAAACATAAAGCCTTTCCATTGTACATTTTTGTGACGTGTTTGGGACTCCATAAAATTGTGTTGGATGTTGCCTAGCGCCATCGATTTTATGCAATCCTGGCGACAGTCCAGCACGTCAGAAGGGGATGGCGGTGTGGCCTGCGGTGCCGCCACCACCACCACGGCCCACGGCAGCACGGATTCCGAGACGACAGAAACGGCGGAACACGCGGGTGATGAGCAGGGCAGCGGTGGCGGCGGCGGGAAAATGTCTGGTTGGACGAATGAGCTGACAGGCAATGGCATCACCGAAACGATCAAGTCGGGCGTCGGTCGGCTCAAGGTGAGCTGGGGGTGTGGCAGGGCCCCCGTGTGGCGGTCGTGATGGTGGCTAGCTAGCTCGGTTGCTGCGTGTGCTGTGGTTTACCTGTGTAAATATGTATGTATGCATGTATGTATGTACCACTTCCACGTGCAAGGAACGTGAGTGCGACAGGGGGCCCCTGTGGGCGCCGGGAGGCGGGAAGAGGGGGAATGTGGTTGCGAGGTTGGTGCAAAAAACCGCATACACATCTACACGTGACACTCGATACTCGGCATGTCCCGGAAACTGCTCTCCACCCGCCACATAGCTCCATCAGGACTGAACCCCGCCGGCAGCACCTTTGCACCCACCATCCGTCCTCCCTCTCGCCCAACTCCAACCGCAGCTACCCCCTTTTCTTCCACGCGCACACAAACTCAACCAACGTCTCGCTCCACGTCGGCAATAGAACAGCACAACGCCCACCGCAACCGGACATAAAGACACCGCCCGCCACTACCAGCGGGGCGTCCGCGGAGCAGGTGGGGACGGGAGAGGGCAGGGAAAGCGGCAGCGTGGGAACGGACGGACCCGTGGGTCATACAGCGCTCTTTTTCCCTGGGATGCTTATGTGTTAGCTGGTAGTAATTGGATGGTAGTAATAGCGGTTGGCACACCGAGACCTGCAGTCCAGCGCCCCTGTCATTGTCATGTCATTGTTCCTGGTGTGTTGGGTCTGTCTGTCTGTCTGTCAGTTTATCTATCTGTCTGTCTGTCTCGTTGCGTGCCGTTGTCTTGGCTGTTGACGTGTTTGTCGTGTAGCTATTTCCCAAAGTCCCGTCACCTCCCATGAGGCCACATTGGCAAGTTGCCTAACGTGCGTTTTTGTTTTAGTTATTTGCGTATGTTTGTATGTGCTTCTGCATGAAAAGGTAGCACGGCACGATCGTGAGGTGGCGGGCAGCGGTATGGAGAATACCCGGGGGGACGTGGACGATATTCCGGAGCTAGGGGGTGGCAGGTGAGAGAGAGCGTGTGTGTGTGTGTATCGGATGTGGGGCGGGGCGGAGCTAGCGGGGGCCCATTGGGAGGTGAGAGGGGAAAGGGGATAGCGTAGCAGGCGAAGTGCGGCTGTGGGTATGGGTGTGGGTATGGGTGTGGGTGTGGGTGCGGGTATGGGTGCGGGCGCGGATGGGGGTGGAAAGGAAGATGATGGAAAGTTGGTAGCTACAGTCGCGAGGTATACGGCGTGGGGCGAAGGGCGGGATGATCCGCTACGGTGGCGAACCAGGTGATACGTACCCCGGGGGAAATTCTCTACGCGATGATGTGAGTGTAGACTACATGCGCGTGCGCGCACACCCACTAGGGAGGTTGGGCTGCGTATCACACCCCGCGTGCATGCAGCATCCTTAACAGCCTGCATATGCGTGTCCCGCTTTATGCCTGTGCACGTGTATGCGTAACGACAATAGAGAGTGCGTGCGTGTAAGTAGATATGTATGTTTATCGTGTCGATGTTGTGTTTTGACGTCTTTCTCTGACACGCAGGCGTCATCGGCCCCCACGGGGAGATGGGTGCCGAGTACGGCCTCCGTACGCCACGTCAGGCGGGCAGCCGCGGCGCCCCTCCGGAGAAGGAAGGGGGTGGCGGTGGCGGCGACGGCGGGGAAAGTCGGGCGTCGGTCGGCTCAAGGTGAGCTGGGGGTGTGGCGGGGCCCCCGTGTGGCGGTCGTGATGGTGGCTAGCTAGCTCGGTTGCTGCGTGTGCTGTGGTTTACCTGTGTAAATATGTTGTTACAGGGTGGTTAACTTCGCCAGCGGCCCCCTTTCCCGGGGCAGTCCCTGCTCTCCCCTGCTAGAGGGGCACCCTAATCCGTCACCCCATCCGACTTCAGAATGTATTCGTTGAGTTCGGCAACTCACCACCAGCATCCAACCAAATCTAGCGGATCAACGGCGCATCAACTTAGTTCCTGGTCAGCTCGCAAGTTGATATTATCACGTCCTACACCGTCCATAAGATGGGGGGCCACCTCCCATTTCATCACTCCTCAAACACCCGAGGAGCCGGCAGGCGGATTTGAACCCGGGTCGACTGGGTCAACTGGGAGCAGAAGTCAGGCCTTAACCTCTGCCAGCCGCCTGCCTATAAATATGTATGTATGTATGCATGTATGTATGTACCACTTCCACGTGCAAGGAACGTGAGTGCGACAGGGGGCCCCTGTGGGCGCCGGGAGGCGGGAAGAGGGGGAATGTGGTTGCGAGGTTGGTGCAAAAAACCGCATACACATCTACACGTGACACTCGATACTCGGCATGTCCCGGAAACTGCTCTCCACCCGCCACATAGCTCCATCAGGACTGAACCCCGCCGGCAGCACCTTTGCACCCACCATCCGTCCTCCCTCTCGCCCAACTCCAACCGCAGCTACCCCCTTTTCTTCCACGCGCACACAAACTCAACCAACGTCTCGCTCCACGTCGGCAATAGAACAGCACAACGCCCACCACAACCGGACATAAAGACACCGCCCGCCACCACTTCAGCACATATACCTCTTAAGATACATACATACGTACATATATACATACATTCAAGCACGCATCACCGCCCTCCCAGGACACCTACCAGCAGATGTTCGGTAGTGCACCAAGGCCGGTGGGGAATGACCAGCCTGGGGGTGGCGAGGCGGGGGCCCCCGCCCCGGGGCGCCAGCACAGGGACGGTTGGAACAGCCCCTGACGCCATTTCCGGTCTACCTCTACCTCTACTGCCACCCGAGTGTGCTGAATGCCGTGTGCCTGTGTGCCGTGTGTGTGCATTTAGGCAACAAAATCAGCTGCGGGTGCAAGTACGTGTGTGTGTATGTATGTGAAACCGTGTGTGTTGGGGGAGGGCGGGGGCAGGGTGTATTTCGCTAGCGGTGGAAAAAGAAGTAAAAGGCGTCCTAGGTGTTGCAATGTCCGTTATAGGCTTTCAGCCTCCCCCCCACCAGTGGAAATGGAAGGGCGACGCGCACAGTTATGGCTTGAGGCTCCGCATACAGTGCAGGCGCACAAAGTGCCTTGTGTGTGTGTTTGAGATGTCGTACACATTCGTACGCTGCAGTCCCCTCGTGTAATTCCCGACTGGGGGGTTTTCCGTTAATGTGCGCGGCTGTACGGCTAGTAGGCGAGAGCTGGTCGTGGTTGTGGTCGTTGGCTCTGGATTCGGTTGGGATACGGTCGTTTATGGGTAGTTGGCTGTTATAAGATCTGGTACTCCCTATTTGTTGCGGAGCACTTGAGAAACGTTTTTGGTATATAGTATGTGAAAACGCGAGTTGGTGGTGGACAGCAGAGATAATTGCAAATCGATGCCCTCGGTTGTGCAGGTGCCAGCAGCACCGTTATATTTCTGTCGCTCCAAGATGTGTTTGGTGCCCACCGGTACCTTAACCGATAAAGGCAGTTTATGGCCACTTTTCCGTCATCTCATGTATGTATGTATGTTGTTACAGGGTGGTTAACTTCGCCAGCGGCCCCTTTCCCGGGCAGTCCCTGCTCTCCCCTGCTAGAGGGGGGCACCGTAATCCGTCAACCCATCCGACTTCAGAATGTATTCGTTGGGTTCGGCAACTCACCACCAGCATCCAACCAAATCTAGCGGATCAACGGCGCATCAACGTATGTATGTATGTATGTCCTGAACGTCCCCCCTTATCCTCGACATACAAATGGAAGTACAACGTAACTGTAGTAACAGTGGTACCGTTGCTGTTACCGTTGCTCTGGTGCTGCGGGCCTATATGTCCTGCAGCTCCGCCAACAGCTACAGCAACAGATAACATGGACATCAGCATACACACACACATGCGCTCACATATGCACAGCCCCAAACTGTTCACATACATCAACACTGCAGTGCTATCAGTCAGCTGTTGCCCCCAACACCGTCCAGGGGAAGTTGCCCCTGTGCCCCCGGTAGCACACCTGAAGGAGCGGGGGGTGGCTAGGCAAGGTAGGAGGCTGCAAGGCCCGGCGACCTCTTTTCCTCCCCCATGCCTAGGGGTGTACACGACCTCCACCACGCACTCTCACCCTTCCAGGGCAATCAAACCCCGGCAAAGCCAACCCAGAAACACCCCAACCAGAAACACCCCCAACCTAGTGCCCTCTGCCCGGCTGACCAGACACAGCCACACTTCTCACCGCATGTACACGGTACCCAGCCACATGCAAAAAGCAGAGACAGACAGACAGAAAAACGCACATGCACAAAGCTGACATACGTACGTACAAACCTACATACACATATACATATATACGCGAATGAACTTGGAAATACATACACTCATACAGGCAGGCAGACGGACAGACAGACAGATAGGGCCTTCCAGTCTGATGTTCGTCAATCAGTCAGCAATCTGCAGCCACCCCGGCAGCCAGCGTCAAGGTTATTTCCCTTTCCGAATCCCGAACAACCACCACCACCAGACATAGGTCTGGTCCTAGCGTTGGTATGTGTCCTCCTCCTCCTCCTCCATATCCTCCTCCTTACCCCCCGAGCATGAACCCGCCGAGCTCTGAACACCCGTTCGCCCCCGTGTAGCTCTTCCCCAGCTCCCTCGCTTCCCCCCCCCCTCATCGCTCGCACTCCCACTCGCTCACACCGCCCTCATGACTCCCCTCAACAGCGGTGTCTGAGGGGCCCTATGAACCGGGACACCGTCCACCAGCACCGCGCTGATGCAGCCCGGGTCACACCCCACTCTCAGCAGCGGGAAGCGGTAGGTGCGGGAGGCGGCGGCGGCGGCAGCGGCGGAGGAGGGGATAGGGGAGGGGGAAGGGGAAGGGGAGGGCGAGGAGGGAGAGATGCCGAGGGAGCAGGCGGCGGCAGATAGAGGTGTGGCGGTAGTGGAGGGTCCCCCTGCCGCCTCCGCTGCCAATCCCTGTTCGGAAGTCAAGGAGGAAGAAGACGAAGAAGAAGGCGGAAGGGGAAAAGGAGGGGGATGCGGGGCTTCCACACCTGACGGCTCCGATTCTAACGTCTTCATTTCAGGACAAGGAGCAGCAGCAGCTGTAGCAGCAGGAGGAGGAGGCGGAGGCGGAGGCGGCGGAGAAGGCGCTTTTTGCTGAGGCCGGTACAGGGGGGTTTGGGCGGGTGGTGGCCAGGCGGTGTCCACATGTTTCAAGTCCGGGTGCGTGATGGTGAGCAGCTGAGACATGTGGAATGCGTCATGGTGAATGTGGGTCAGGGCGAGCACGAAGCAATTGCTGTCCGTGTCCACACAAATCAGATACCTGCGAGGGGGGGAGGCGGGGGGGAGGCGGGGGAGGGGGGTTTAGGGTCAGGGAAAAGGAGTAGCGGGTGTTTTGTTGTGCGAAAAGCTGTGTGTTTACTGGAAGGGACCTTCCCTGACAACAGTGAATGCGAGTGCGAGTGCGAGTGTGTTTTCTATGAACAGCCGAGTTGCGAGTAGGAAGTGGCGATTGTGTATGTAAGTAAGTATGTAAGTATGTAGGTACGCATGTGTACACATGTGTTAAGTGTGTTAAATGCTCAGACTCACAGCGTGCCCGACGCGTTCAGTGGAGGTGACACGAACACAAGCGGACGACACAGCACCGCCGCCCCGCGGTTCATGCCGGGGTGAAGATCCTGAGGCGGGGTGGGGCCGGGGGGTTGGGGGCGCGGGTCGGATTCGGCAACGGGTTTTGGGGGACTACACGCCCGAGACCATATGGCCTGTCCACTAGCTCAGCACTCCATCGCACTGAATGGGTGTGTATGTGTGTATGTGTGTACGTGTGAATGTGTGTATGTGTGTACATATCTGATCCCCTTCACATCATGCGGCCCCCAGCACCCTCCCCTCCCCCACTCCTCCCCTTCCCTCTCCGAACCCCATTTTCCACTGGCTCCCTCCCTCTCCCCCTCCCCTCCTGTCCCTCCCCTCCACACGCACCGGGATGCCCCGCAAAGTAAGTCGTTCATGGTGCATCAGGGGAAGCAGCTCCGAAGCCTTTTGGTGGTGAGTTTGGACGTACGGGTCGCGGGTTGTGGGTTAAGGGTTGAGGGCGAGGGCGAGGGTGAGAGTACGAAGGAAAAAGGGGGTGAAGGGGGCAGCGGGGTCCCGAATGTGAAGTTGGGGTTGCTTGGGGCTGTACGGCAAAGTGAGCCCAGACTCGTTGGAGACGGGGATGCCGTTTGCCTAGGTTAAATTGTTTGTACGGGTACTAGGCAATAGGCAGTACATGTTGTCGTACTGACCGTACCGCCTAGTAATATGTATGGCCCCCAACGGATATCTGTCAAGGGCCGTACAGTTAACTGATTCTCCTCATACGCGCGGAAGAAGTACATCGTGTACCAATGGCTCTTTAGGGCCGCCATCCGCTTGGGTCATTATTTGTAATAGGCATGTGTACGAGTTATATGTACGGATCATGTGTACGAGCAATGTGTGTGTATGAGCCCTGAACGGAGTTCTCTTCTTCACCCCTCATCCAAAACAAACCCACCCGTGCTGCATCCGCCCTCAACAGCTCCTGTACGGCAGCCCAGTTCCGATCCCGTACTCCACCCCGTGCTGCCACCAGCCCGCTCAGCTGACTCAGCAGTACGACAAGAGAGTCCATTTGGGAGCGGGCGGGGAGACTGGGGTCCAGGGAGGCCGCACGTGAGTAGTCCTGAAGGGGGGAAGCCGGGGGAGGGGGAGGGGGAGGGGGAGGGGGGTTAAGACAAAACACAGACGAGTGAATGTGATACCCGGGATAGACGGATACGCCGGGGAAGGGGGCGGGGGTTTCAGTGGGGTGGCGGGAGGGGGCCGCCGGACCTTGACGTAGACCTCGACCTGGACATGTACAGATAAAGGCTCCCTCCCTTCCCCCCTTCCCCCCTTCCCTCCCTCCCCCCCTCCCCCCCCTCCCTTCCCTCCCTCCCCCCCTTCCCTCCCTCTCCCCCTTCCCTCCCTCCCTCCCCCCCCTCTCTCCCCCCCCTCCCAGGCCCACAGCCTGTGGGACTCCAAGACTTCAATACCATCAATGCCGCTCCGAAATCCTGTGCGAAGGCGTTGAGGGCCGCCCTGTTGTAGTACAGGTCGGGCAGGTCGGAGCAGCCGCAGCGCTCAGCCTGGGAGCCCGGTGTATGTGTGCGTGGGGGGGTGTGGCGGTGGGGGTGGGTGGGAAGAGGAGGGGGGCCAGGTAGGGATACATATAATATATATATATATATGTATGTATATATAATATGCAATTTATTATATGAGGGGTTGGAAGTAGGGTGCGCGGGGGTATGTGCGGCCGGGTAAGTGTCTGCCGTACGCACATGTTTTGTCGATGCTACAGTCATCGTATGACACGACAGGAGTTACAAAGGACTGGCTACCAGTGGGGGTATCCAGCAGCCGCTTCTTAGGAGCCGAAAAGGGCTCTCTCGGCCCCAGAGAGAGCAGCCAGTCGCCCGCCAGTATTCCGCAGGGGAGGCTGTACGGCACTGGGCTGCAAGTGAAGGAACGGCGTCGTGCTTGGACTGCATCCTCATTCTTTATTGTGGATAGGTGCGAGGGCTGGGTGCGGCGGTCGGCGGCACTGGAGTGATGCATGAATCATGTTATACACGCAAATGTGCAAATCCATGTAAGGTGCATTTTGCGTGCCGCCTCCATCTCAACAAGAACGGCTGAGCTGAGCATATCTATATAGCCTCCTGGTAGTGCGCGAACCCAGTTCCCCATCGCCAGTCCAACTGGGGGGAATAGGACATGTATGAGATGTGCTGTGCGCGAGACGGAGGACAGAGGGCAAGGAGGGAAGTGCTGCTGGAGCAGTTGGTATGGCCTGGATGGGCTGCTGGGGTAATCGCGGGGCCCTGCGGCGTAGATTGCTTTACTGCTGACGGTTGTGGGTGGTTGTAATGGGGTTCGCGACGGGGGTTGAGGATGCATTTTGAGGTCGCTAAGGCCCCTTGTAAGGCCCCTCGTAAGGCGCTTCGCACCCGGGCCTCGCGCGAACATGGCGGAGTGGAAGGGGGTGGAGCCCTCCCCTCCCCTCCCCTCCCCTCCCCTCCCCTCCCCCCTCGCCACCCCACCTGCGCAAACGCCGCCAGCACCCGCGGCAAATCTCCGCGACTGCCCCGAGCTCGCAGGGAGCTGCTGCCGCCGCCAGTGCCGCCAGTGCCGCCGGGGGGAGCAGCGGAGGACACGGGACCCAGTAGTACCCCCCCCGCCGCCGCCGCCGCCGTTGCTGCTCCTCCTCCCCCCCCGCCCGCCGGCACCACCACTACCGGGAGGCGGTGATCGCCGCGGAAGTAGTCGGCCATCTGGGCCATCGCCAGGACATCTGTACGATGGTGATCCCCGATGGTGTACGACAAGTCCAAGAGTGGAGATACATCAAGGGCAGGCTCGTCACCGGAATGCCTTAACTAGGCAGACAGACAGACAGACAGACAGACAGACGTCCATCGATGGAAAGAACGCAAAGAAACCGATGTCCATCTGGTACTCCTTAGAACCCAAACCCCGCGCAGCACTCACACCAGCTGTAGCCGTTTTCCAAATCCAGCTCTAACGCCCGTCGTGCGTGAGCCAAACTGGCCGTCAACGCGTACGACAGCGAAGAACTCCCGTCGCTCGATATGCCGCCGCCGCCGCCACCACTACCGGCACCACCTCCTGATGTGGCGGCGGCCGCCTCGCCTACCCCACTTCGTAGCGCCTTCTGCTGCTGCTGCTGTTGCTGCAGCAGTGCCGCCCCCGCCGCGCCGCCCTGTTGTCGTACCAGCAATGACATCATCTGATGTCCTGCCACACTGGGGCAGTGCCGTACTCCCGAGCTGAGGCAGCAACCCGCCATGAACTGGGTCAGTGTCGGAGGCAGAAGCAGTAGCATCAGGCAACAGCAGCAGAAGTAGCAGTAGCAGCATTGGCATCAGGATGATCTCACGGGTGCAGGGGGTTTCAGGGGGGATGGGGGGGGGATGCGGGGGGATGCGGGGGGCACCCGTACAGCAACCGAGCCGGCAGCAGCAAGACATATACACACACAGACACAGACAGAGGCTCAGTTTCTTTATTTAAACACACACATACACACACGCGCGGATGTAGGTTCCCCCCCTGCCCAGCTCCCCCTGTTCCAGACCCCCCACCTCTCCCCCCACACACCTCCACCTCACCAGGTCCCCCCTCTCCCAGTAGCTGTGCGCCAGGCAGTTCCAGGCACTGGGGTTCAGTGGCCTCAGCTTCACCTGGAAGTGGCAGTGGCGGGATAGTGACAGTGACAGTGACAGTGGCAGCAGAAAGGGTGGGGGGGATGGGCGCGTGCGTGTGTGCGGGGCGAAAGGTACGTATCTTTTCTCTCCAGGGCCGCCCCTTTAGGGCCCCCCCCGGGGGGAGAAGGGCAGGTCAACAAATAAATTCCTCATCCCATTCTTTCATTCATTTCTTTATTTACCCTTCTATCCTAGCGGTTCGGGTTCTGTCCTTGGCGTAGCAGGTAGCGGAGGAAAACAACGCTTATAGTTAGAGTAGTTAGACCTGGAAATGCGGCCCATCTACCGCGCCTTTCACCCTCTACCCGCCGTCATAAGGCCCGCTTCCGTCTTCGCGGCATCTGAGTTGGTGTGTTTTTTTTCTCTCTCTCTCCCCCTCCCTCCCTCCTTCCGCCCTTGCCCCCCACCCCCACCGCCGCCTGCAGTCCACTAAGAGCCGCATCCGAGGTGCCGCCTCCACGCAAGTACGACGACAGCGCCGCCGCCAGCAGCGCCGCTCCCCTCAGCGGCAAGTGGGAGGTGGCGGCCGCCGGCTCATCAGCCAACAGCGCCAACATGCGGGAGCTGCAGCTCTCGGCCCGCCTCAACAACACCTCCACATCCTCCTCGTCCCCCTCATCCTCCTCATCCCGCCGCCGCTGCTGATGCTCTTGCTGATGCTGATGGTGTTGCTCTTCGGCTGTCCCCGCCGCCGGCGACGCGGCCGCCTCCTGCGAGCATCCACCGTGGCGCGACCATCCCCTACTGCCTGGTCGTACATTACCGTACATTCGCTTTGCGTCCGCCAGGCGGGAAAGTTGCTCCACGAGCACCTCTAGCTGGTCTCGGAGGTGCTGTTGTGGATAGAGGGAGTGCGAATGGGAAGGGGGAAAGAGGAGAGGGGTGATAAGGGAACGGGGGCCGGGAGGAAGGCCCATCAACACCCACAACCCTTGGAACATATCAAGCTAGTGAACCAGTCGTTTTCGAGTTTGCTGCAAGACGCTTTAGCTCAAGAGGCTCAGACAATTTGACTTGACATTTGCTGACTTGCCGTACGTGTTTACGATGTAATAGGTCATTTGTTTGCGAGCTGTTGATTGGTAAAGATAGCAAAATGCGGTACCGCACCTGCATTTGCGCGCTTGCAGCAGAAGCGCCGGACGGCATCGTTGTTCGCCCTGTTGCTTTTATACAAAATTCAAGCTATTCCTAATCTTGGAAGTAATTCAGCATCATTGCGCAAAGCATAAGCTGCGCATTACCAATAATGAGTTACGATGCGTTGGGTCTAATGTGGACGGAGGCCCGGATAGATCGCAGAGTTGTCCATCAAAATAACGCTTTGGTGCTCAACTTTTTTTTTTATCTGAAGTGTCATGAAGCCCACGGCTGGACCAAGCGGAAGGAACCTGCTCCCGCATCCCGCCATCTCGTACAGCTGGGTGCAATTCCTAAGTTAGGGGAAAAGGTGTGCCCAAGGCGATGCATCTCAGGATCGGCCTTCGGTAATGGATCTGAACATCAGTGTAATGGCAAAGGGTGTTTCCGATATTACTGTAAGGAGGTAACGCTCACAGGCTCGGTGACACCAACCCCATACATTGCTACACATGGTGCCGATGGCACCATAAATGCAACTGAGATGCTGCCGGACTCCTGGAGCTTCCAGTTAGCTGACTCCCTCTTGCGTGCAACAAACACAGCAAAGGAACCCGCAGATGGAGCCAGACTTCGAGTGCTGGCCTCACCACCCACCCAAACAGTTCCTGTTACATGATGTAAAATGGCAACCTTATATATAAGCTTACCCACGGGTCATCCGTTGCCATGCTGACATCTCGTCCTGCAGACGAATGGAATCCAGTTCCAACCAAATTGCTCGTCCACCTGCAGCCCATGAGACAACGGATCACATAGGTTTGAGTCATCTGCAAGAAAGCATAATATACCGCAAGGCAGAGTTTTTGAAGTGAAGATAGCCGCCGGACACTTGTGCTTGGAAGGAGGGGATTCCGATTAGAATTTTGGACTTCATCTTCTTGGGCGATCAGCTTGCTTGACAGACGTGTATGTGCTGCCTATCATAGGAGCTATTCCAAGCTCTTGATACACAGATAGCAGTTCTCCACGTGTCGGAAGATCGGTGCAGCAGCTGTCAGGGCTTGTTCCTGAAATAATGGAATATCGAAATCCATAATTTGGGGAATTTCTAGGTACCTTGAGGGATGGAGGTTGCTTTTGCGCCGAAGGAAGCAGCAGCAGCACGGCCGGCCACCGGTCCATCAGTTAGGAGCTCATTTCTCAGGATGGCTTGGTGGGAAGGCCTACGTAGGGCGATTCATCTGCTGCTTCGAGCTGCTGCAAGGTTTCGTCGCCTGCTGCAAGTCCTGGCGCGCCAACCCGGCACGTTGGTCCGTGCACTTTTCCGTTCACCGGGCTCACTGTTGAACCTTGTGCGGTGGGTCCTTTCCTCAAGACCGGCCCGCCTGCTACTAGCAACAGCGGCATCGCTAATCTGCATAACGCTCCAGTACCATCGCCCAACCGTTGCCGATATTCAACTGTCGTCCTCCTTGTCTCTCCTGTTCGGGATGTTCAGGTAAGCAACCTATATGTAAACAATAGTACATTATATAATAGGTTCCGGTGGAAACCCTAGCGCGGACATTCCACAGGTCATTTTTTGACGCGACCGCTTTGGAAACAGCCATCAAACTGCGAATTCCCCTAATGGCTATGCGTAAATCCAACGAAAACCGGATTTCCTTTCCTAGCCCTGTGCGCGGTACTTCATCTCATGTACCACACTGCGCGATGCCGCTATGCACCGCTGTGCCGCAGGTTGCAGGGATCCCTTGCCGTGCAGCTGGGGCCTCCGGAATCCCGCAACTCCAGAAGCGAGGATCCCAACATCCGGGTGCAACAGCAGCAGCACGGCGGCGACGAGCTGCGAATTAACTGCCCCAAGGTAGGGGCTCTTCCCCCTGACCCCATAGCAACCCCCTTCTCCCCACCTTCATCCCGTGAACCAACGCGGTCCGTGGCGATGCCCCCGCTGCTGTCCTATCCCACCGCCGCTTCCCATACCCGATCCGAACCCACACCGGACACGATTCGACCTCAAACCGAAGTTAATCCCATCGCCGAAGATCTGCGACTTCATTGCCCCCTTCCTTTTTCATTGCCTCCTCGTTTGTTTGTTGACCTCTCACCCTCCTGTCCCTGACGTAAAGGACCTCAAGGAGTCTATCGTGCGATTCCTGGAGTCCCAGGCGACAAGAAACAGCATCAACCACCTAACCGCCGCTACAGCCGCTGCCACCGCCCAGAGCCCCACCACTGCGGCGGCCGCTGCTACCGGCACCGCCGGCCAACAGCAGCGGCAGCAGCATCTTTGCAGTCCACCTAAGCACCACCGTCAGCAGCAGCAGGTGGAGGTGGAGCAGCAGCGGCCGTACGTGACCGAGGTGGAGGAGGCCGCGCTGCGGAGTACCGTGAAGTATCCCCCTGGAGGATTCACCCTTCCAGAGGTTGCTGATGTGCCGAGGAATCCATGGGAGGCGGTTGCCGATGGTGCTGCCGCCGTCCCGGCGACAGCGGATCCCGCCGTTGTCGAAGCAGATGAAGACGCCGGAAGCTACAGCTCCGCGGATAGCACCGCTGGCGGGGGCTGTGGTTTTGAGAGCTGCTGCTCTGACTCCTTTCCTGTAGGAGCGCCAGCGGCGGGCCTGCCGGTGGCAACCCGTACTACGCACGGCACCGCGGCAGCACCGGTGCTATCGTCTGTGGATGCGCTGCTGCCGTCGACACCGCCGCTAGGGTGTTCTCCGGCGGCCAATGTGGCTGGTGGTTCCGGAATCGGAGCCGCTGAATGCCAGGAGAAGGGCCCCATGGACCGGTCCGAGTTCCGCTCCCTCATGTCGTATGCGTCGTCATACAAGTCGTCGGTTGCGGCCCGGCCGAACTCTCCGCGGCGGGAGCTTGCGAGCCACGGGTTGCCTGTAGCATTCGACGGGGTGGACTCGCAGGAGGCCAGGGCCGCGGCGATGGTACCAGTGGCCGGGCCCGCATCTGCAGCGCCGGCTTGTGGTAATGACGGGAGTGGTGGCGTCAGTGGTGGTGGCTGTGTTACCCTCCATAAGAGTCCCGAAAGCATTCTGGGTCTTCAAAACCTGGGTCTGGAGGGCTGGGTTGAGAGTCATCGTCGCTGGGAGAGCCGTTACCTGGAGGACTGATGTGGCTCCTGGATGATCATTGGCAGGATAGCGGGGAACTGAGTGAGGACGGGCCTTATGAGGGAGCAATGACCATGGCTCCGGAACGGGTCTTCTGTGTCGCGCGCCTCTGCCTTCATATATCACAATGTGTTGCACTGCCGCCTGCTCTGCGGGGTTCTTGACCTGATCTGTTGCGGTCCGTTGAGAGCTCCATAAATATGAAAATGTGGGTGCCTGGACGCCTTCGGAACGGATTTGCCATGTTACCCTGAGCGAGTGTGTGGCTCTACGTGGCAGCTGCTTAGGGGTTTGCAGGTCAGGGCTTAGGGGTTTGCAGGCAGCGGCGTTGTTAAGGTCATGAGGCTACGTTAACCAAAATAAAGAAGCATCTCAAGCTAGCAGCAGGTCTTTTTTCGCCGCTCGCAGAGGATGCCGTCTCGTCATACGTCGTATGCTCATATGTGGTCACGCAGCAGTGGGTTTATCCAGCGTCACAAGAAATCTCTGTACATTATAGCAACGAACGAGGGACTTGCCGACTACTGCTTCTCTCCGTGTTCGTTGTCGTCTGCTGAGCACATTTGGTATGACTCTCTTGTGAAAAGGCCGAGAGGAATACAGGGACGAGTGCGTGGGGATTAATGCGTGGCCGAAAAGGGTTATGGCACCGTTCCAGGTGGTAAACCTCGCACACGTTTGCTTCGCCGCGGGTGAAAGGTCTGACAGGTGAGAGATCGTTGGTTGGTTGGTTCAATCAACAGTTGCTAGGAACTGTCTCTGCGGGGCCCCTCGGGGAGTTGCGGGTGGACTCCGCACGCGCCACTTTGTAGCGGGCATCACTTAAGAGTGAGGCTCATGTTCAAATGTTCCTGCTATTGCACAAATGCAAAATATATTGTTACGATGTTGAATTTTTCTAATACTGATAGGAATGTTGCATAAACTTAGAGAGAGTTTGGCCCATTGTAAGCAGATCGTTTCGCCCATAGGCTGGTTCACCTAGCGAAGTCTTTGTGAAAATAAGAACCGCACACCGCCTTCCTCGGCACTAGCAAGTGCGCAAATACAACATTAGCATACTCCATAGTCTGGAAGAGACTCGTGGTCGCGAGGTTGAGGGGGGAAATCTCGAGTAGGAGGCCGCGGCAGTAGCGGCGGTGACGGCGGCTGTGGTGACACTGGTGCCGGAAAAACAGCCTCAACAATTACAAGACACATTAGCGCCCGCACACGCAAGGCCCCCGCCCAATTGCAGCTCCAGCACAAGCAGCAGCCAAGCAACACCCCACCATGTGCATCGCCGAACGGACATACACATGTGCCACCTACGAGCCAGACACCGCAACCAGCTCCAATTTGCAGCGCTCACACAACCCTGGCTGCCCAAAAAGCATCAGACCCCTACACCATATCACATCAGGTGATATGCAGCCCCAATATGAAAGTGGTGGGACCCAGGAGACCCCGGGGGAACCTTCGTTAGTGCCTTGCGTCCCGTTGCCTGCATGGCCACGTCTTCCACCTCTTCACAAACCCAGTGGGCTCCAACACTCCAGTATTGCTCCTCCTGCTGATGCTGATGCTCCTCCATCTCCGTCTGCCCCTCTCGGTCTCTCCTCCCCTTCCTCTCCTCGCCCTTTGCTTCTCACAGCACGCCAGCCTCTGTCAGGAGCTTCTGAAGAGTGCCGTTGGCCGCAGCTGCCGCCGTGTCGTCGCCGCCGCCCAGGAACTTGCCGTTGATGAAGACGCGGGGCACACTGCGGCCGCCCGTGACCTCCAGCAACGCGTCTTGCATGACGTCCGTGTCGGGCCGCTCGTCCAGCTGCCGTGTCGGCAAGCCGTTGGTGTGTGTTGGGATTGCCACATAATCATGATCGGCATGAGCGGTTGAACATCCGGGGCCGCGACGTTGACGTTCGCGGGAGCGGTCGACCGAGGGCCGGTTGCATGGCCGAACGGGAGTTTGAGGTGTCAGGAGGAGGGGGAAGAAAAGACGGCACGTCAGATATGGGCATTGAGCCATACTTTACAAGGCTTAGCAGATGGCAAAAAATAATAGCACCACCCGCCTGTAAGTGGGGTAGGGCAGTACACGACAATTAGTCGAAGTAGCTAGTGACCATGTAGCTTGGCAAGCGGGCGCCATGACCACCGTGTATGCCTGCTTGCCCGTGTGCCAGAACTCTACCATGTTTCATGTTATGACGACGTTGCTGTGCGGAGTGAAAGCTTTGTGAAATTCTATATACTGCTGCAGACTTCAGGTGCAACGTGGCGGCCGTGTAGCAACGCAGCTGCAACACGCATGGAGGCCTTATGCTCACGAGGTGTCGCGGCTCAGATAGCGCGTGCCCATCGGTTCAAAGAGACTTGGGGCAAGGCTTGTAAACCCGCATGCAGACACGCTGCTTGCTGGCCAATCAGCTCTCCAGTAAGCTTTTAAGCGGTGGTTTAAGTGCCCGCGAAGGAATTATCTCACACCTAACGCGTGCGGCGCACCAATCTACGGTATATCATTAGCGCCGCATGAGCTCGTGCGCAGAATGCCTGCGCGGCAATTCGCTCGCTACACGCACGCCAGGTAGGTTCTACATAGGACTCTTGAGGTTGCAAGTGGCAACCGATGACGCCTACCTCGACAACCGTGTACTGGTTGGGCTTAATGAACTGGTTGAGGGCATTCTTCGCTTTCACGCAGTACGGGCAGTAGGTCTTGCTGTACACCATCACCTGGAGGGTCACAAGGGTGGCGAACACACCACAGAGACCCAACTCAGCGCTGGACGAGCGCAGCACCCCCCACCGACAATCGGTGAAGTTAAGCATACCAATATGGTTTAGACAAGCTTGGCCGCTTCTGCCTGTCCGCCTGAAAGGGCCCCCGCCGTCGCAAGGACGGAACCACTAACAGATCCCATCAACGAGTCAGGAGGAAAGCGATGTATGACGACCGATGTATACGTGACAGCTTCTCCTAAAATAATATGTGCACAATTCCGTTCCAACTGACCTTATTCGCCGTGATGGCCGCATTGATCTCCTGCAGCGCCTCGGCCTTGCCCATGTTTCCACCCGGTTTTGCGGACTGATTACCCGTTTTGTCGAAGGATTGGCTTTTCCGGGCGTAAAGTACTTCAGCAAGCTGTTTTGGTGAACGGACGAGCCAGGCAATAGAGAGACAACACGCTGTCACAATGATTAGCTGTAAGATATCACTTCTTATTGAGACGGGCATCGTCCCTGACGCACCGTTGTGCGTTAGGACTGGCCGTTGGGCCTGGGGCATTTCTGGCATCGCCGCTTCTAACGGTTTCATCAACGACACAGTCTTTGCCAGCCAGTTGTACTGTGGCAGCGGACTGTCGCCAAAACAAACGAACCATTGTAGTCATGCATGTGTGCATCGATCATAAACCAATGGAAGACGGAAGCTTCCGGTTGGTGACCCTTCTCTTTGATGCTAGCCGCGCCCCGCAACCAACCCACCCACAAAGTATAAATTTGCGCCGGCACCACACTGCCGCAAACCTTCTATTAAATGCATTCTGGAAGGGAGGAAATGGAAACAGGGAAAAGGACACTGGCCCGAAGCCATAAACTAGTAATTGGCTCGAGACACACAGACCGTTTGCCATTCGATACTGCAAGATACGGCAGACTCACCACTACCGCACCACAAGCACATTTCCTATATTCGCCTAAAATCCGATAACGAGTTCGCCTCTTCGTCGCATGGCAGGCGTCTCACAGGATTCCTTAAACCTGTCAACTTATTGCTAAGGTCTGCCCTGTCCATCATTGCAGCCCCCCCCGGCTCTCCCCCCGGCTCTCCTCGCCCCCTGCTCCCGCGAGCACCACACCCCCCGCGCGTACCCTTGAGCTCGCCAACCGCGCACTGTTGCGCCTGGAACTCTTCAAGGCAAGGCTCCCGAACATCACATACCGTACTCAACCTCAGAAGGGATGACATCAAAGAACCCGAGCGCCCAGTCAGTCTCTGTCTGTGTGGCCTGTGCTATCTATGCCTTAGCGGTTTGACTTGCTTCGCGCACAAATGCATTCCTGGCTCTCGTGATTTCCCAACAGGTGACTACGTCCAACAGCTTGAAAATAACGACAGGCAAGGGCAGTGATGGTGGGTTGGTGGCAAGGGCAGCGGCGGTGGGGTCGCACCGGATCAAGGCGGAAGGCAAGTGGGCAGCGGCCCCCGGCAGCTCTCCCCCCTGCTCTCCCTCCATACCGCGGTCTGCGAAACCCTAAGCCCTAAGCAACAGAGAGTCACATTCCCCAGGAGGCATGCACCTTCAACCGGGAGAAGCCACCACCTCACAGGTGCTGATGGCGATGCTGTTGATCCCGCTGAGTCCTCGGCTGCATCGTCTTTCCGCTTCTTATTTTCAAGCCGTTCGATATCTCCGCACAAGGACAGCCTTTTCTAGCTGTTGTGATGCACCTGTAATAACGAGCTTCTGGTTAACACCTCTTGGTGTGTTAGGGCTTCGGTGTGTGTGTGGGGGGGGGTGACGCATGGCTGCGGTGAGCGCGTTGTGAGCGAGGTGAATCGGTACCGCAGGTAAAACACCATTCGCGACAAATACGCGGCTCCGCCTTCCAGGACGGCCGCTCGCGTCAGTCCCCACTCCCCAGCCTTGAGCTGAGCGAACAGTCAAACTACTCTCTTATTGACGCCATGGCGCGGCCGCGCCTAAACAGGGTATGGCCCATCACCTAATCCACAAACACGCGCACACACATGCACGCCCCCATATACACACGCACCCCCCTCTCTCTCTCTCTCTCTCTCTCTCTCTCTCTCTCTCTCTCTCTCTCTCTCTCTCTCTTACACACACACACACACAGACACACACACACACCCTCTTTCTCTCCTCCGGTGCTTCCCGCCAGCGTCTCAGTTCTCTCCACACACGCCGCCCCGCGCCGCCCAAGGCCATTGGGCCACTACAACATCGTCGACTATAAAACGAGCACGCGGCACCACACATGAAAAACAATATACGGAATCAGCAGTATTACTATACACAGTATGAGATGACCGTAAAACGAATACGTTGCCGAGACGGTCTTCCCCACAGCCACCTTCCACTCTCGCCAGCTGTTTCCTTAGATGGATTAGCGTTGCCCCCAAGTAGTTCTCTGTGGAGGACCTCCACCTCCACCTCCATTTACTGCTCAGCCGGTTCAACAGCTGGCCAGCTCCTCTACGCATCCAGCAGGAACTCATCACTGGTCAGCACAATGCCAGGATCCACACCGCCGTCACTGCTGGCGGCCCCGCCAGTGGAAGTGGTGATAGCGCCATCCTGCGGCCTGCCAGTACCGCCGCCGCCGCCACCTGCGTCCCCAAAGGAGGAGACCACACGAGGTCCTACCGGCAGCCCCTCCGGCGGCGGCGCCCCCGCCGTGCCAACCCCTGCGATACCCTGGAGCTGCTGCAGCTGTTGCTGAAGGTCCGTCGGCGCCGCTGCTATACCGACAAGGGCAGGCGCCGACTGCATGCCGCCGGTGGCGGCGGCGGCGGCGGCGGCGGCAGCGGCAGCTGCTGCCGCTGCCGTGGCCGCCGCCACAGCAGGATCCAACTCAAGCTGCGGATTCTGCTGCTGCATTTGCTGTTGCACGTGCTGTTGTTGTTGTTGTTGTTGTTGTTGCTGGGCCGGGTCCTCTGGTTCTTCTGTGTGGGACTCCACGAAGCCCTCGCGCTTCTGCCGCATGGCCCGATGAGCGGCCTGCCGGCGGCCCTCACTGCGAAGCGTCTCGATGAGCTCGTCCTGCGGAGGGCAGTAGTCGTGGTAGTAGTAGTAGTAGTAGTGTAGCAAAAGCCGACATCAGCCCCGATCAGCGAATTCATACACCCATATCAGATCGATCAACCGGCTTCATGCCGGTACGTTTTCTCCTCCCTTTTTTCGCAGGCATCCTCGCCTCCCCGCGGTAATTTACCCGTGAAAGGAGACGATTTATTGTTCCAAGAGGATGACGTCACTGGTAGTGAATTTCATGGCCGCGAACGCTGCTGGGCACCGTACACCTGTGGACGTTTACCTGCGTGATGGCCTGCAGCCACGCAAACTCCTTCTCGTACTCGGTAGGATCGAAGTTGGTGATGCCGCTCTTCACGCCCGCGGCGTTGTGCAGCTCGCACCAAAGCATCATCTTGTCGTACGCTCGGGCAGCTTCCTCCTCGTTGTCGAAGCAACCTGTGGAGGCACGGGCAGAACAGGATACGGAAAAGAGCGGCGTCAGAGCGATTACAAAAACCCAAAGGTTGGTTGGCTCCTGTTCATTCGACGAAGTGTCCAGATCCACATCCACCAGAATTGCAAAGTTGTGATATCCGGATATCCGATCAGCATATGCGTTCCCTTTGACGCTTGGATTTTGAGAGGATTGGCATTCAGGCAGAGAAAGCTGGGGTGATGACGGGGTAATGTTACGTGGCCCAGCGACGGGGCTCCCTCTCCAACTACACTCCCTATGCACGTCGCGCTTACATCGGCAGTAAGTGGAGATGCTGACACCTGAGCTACAGCAGGGTGATGGCAACACAGCGGATAGCAGCGCCTGCTCGTATTGGCAGAGCTGCCCTCCATCCACCGCGCAGGAGGCCCGAGGATTGGCACAGGCTGCGTAAGGGCGGCCCGAGAGCGATTTGTTCTTACCGAGGGAGGTGGGTTTGCCGTTGCGGCGGAACTGCGCCTCCCAGCGCTTGGTGGGGAAGGTCTGATGCACGCCGCGGTACTTGGATGTGTACGTGCGCCCTGAGCCGTTCCCCTTGCTCTTTACTGCACGGAGCAGCTTCATGGCGGTGCCCATTTTCCCAACAGGCACCTGGTGTTGCGCGACGGCTTTCTGCACAGGCAGGATAAGGTGGTGGGGATAGCATCTGTGGGGGTGCAGTCGATTGTTTTCAGTTGTGTAACGATGTTTACTGCACCCATGGGTACTTTTGGGTTGGGGTGCAGGGCCTGCTCGGAAGCTGAGAAGGTTCTGCGGTTGTGTATTTCTTGAACAGCTTGTTTGGGCTGTAATGGAATCCTCTACCCCCTCTATTGCAGAATCCTTCTATTGCAGACTCACCATGCGTTGCTGGACCCGGAGTGCCGCGTTTGACGGCATCTGGGCTTGCCGGTTCCTGGCGGGCCTATGAGAGCCCCAGTCAGCAACACTTAGTCCAACCTCCTGCAAGTACTCCAGCTCGCGGATAGTAACAGACCGCGGTCTGCATATCGTGGGCTGGAAAAGCAGTGCGCCTTGGCGGAGGCGTGCCTGCGGGGAGCCACATCATGTGTGACCCACGAGGCCAACCTCTGACCGCCTTTCAATGAGCACGGCCTTGCCTGTAACAAGTCTAGCTGTTCTTTTACTGCCATACCACCACCCATCTGTATAAGCTCCGGCCTGTAATGCGTAGCAACAAGTTGGCAAATTTACTTGGCAAGTCACCTGGGTCAAAAGAGGTAAGCCTTACCAGGAGTATCGGCGCGAAATGCCTGGAAGGCTGCCCAATACCCGTATTTGCTGATTAGCCTGCCCACTGCTGCTAGCCTCTTGCAGAGGACCAACTTCAGACGGGCGCTCCACCACATCGTGAACAGCTTGCAGCTCCTGGCCACATTCTTCCTTTGCTGATATTGAGTGTAGATCGGCAGACATGATAATTTACATAAGTTCCTAAGCTTAATGTAGAAGTAAGCGGTTACAGTAGTTACACAAAGAATAAGTACAGAGCAGTTCGCAGATACAAAATTATTAGCATTCAGTGTAATAACTGAAGCGGTTTAGGCTTTGTCAAACGAAATCTCAACCGCACGAGCCAGTACGAACGGTCGTTGCAGTAACAGAGTCGTCTGTCTTGGCCAGTTCTACCTCGTCTCGCACGCTATGATCAGACAAATGCAGCGCTAACGAACTGCAAAACATTAGAGCCGCCCTCAATCAGGGGGTTCCCGTACAGAAGAATAAGCGTCCAGTGAGCACCGAAACCAACCGTCATGGAAGGTTGTCGCCTACGCAGCGCCCGTGTCACCGCCCGGCGTCTCCCGATCCCGTAGCAATGGCCACGACGACATACTTGAAATTCGAAGCGCGTCAAAGCTATCCTGAACCACACGCCCCGCCCGACCCATCCCACCGCCGCCGCCACCAAACAACATGATACCCTGATCCCCGCTGCCCACGTTACCACCCAGCACCAGAGCTCCAAACGTGTCAAGCGCAGGCGTATTGGGCGACGTGCATTGCATCGGAACGGGGACTTCCGCTCCCAGGTCCTGGTCGAGCGTACTTTCCACGTCTCCAAGAGCTCCCCCCACTTCCAACCTGCCATAAAGCTCGGTCCTGTCTAAGGCTGCGGTAACAAGGCTATCAGGATGGGGCATGCTGACAGGGGTCGCGCCCTGCGCTGCAGTTATTCCAAACCCCAGGAAGCTCTCAGCCACGCCCGATGGAGGGAAGATGTGTGTACCTGGCAGAGCCGGGGTCGTGCCAGCCGCGGAGGGGTCCCAAGAGAATCGCAGCTTAGGGTGCGGCAGCAGGTTCGGCGTGATGCCGCTGCTGTTGGGGCCGCCCGCCGCGGACACCTTTGCACGGTTTGCAGCAACGGCGAGGGCGTTTAACGGGAACTTGAGCTGCTGTGGATGGGAAAAAGCGGAGCATGGGTGCGAACACAGTAACAATTAGGAAGTATGAAAGCCGTTGATGGTGCCTTAATAAAGCATGTGGGCTGTGCGCATCAGGGCACGACCGGAACAGCACATCCTTGGCCAACGGTGACCATGAGCCATGCCATGGGATCCACAACTCAACGACAATGTGAGCTGCGACATAACATTGACTCGCGCGCCTTCGTTGGGACAAATCCTTGACGGGGTCTCAAATACCATAGCCAGGTTCTTCCCCAACAGGCTTATCCCAACAGGAGATGAGTCTGGGCGTGTGTAGCGAAGAACGGATCTTACTCTGTAAGAAAGCAGTTTAAAGCTTCCGCACACATAAAAAATATCCGCACAAAGACTCCGTTAGGGCAACATCTTTGAGGCACTTCAAACCTACCCCGGGGCCTGGAGTGAGGACCTGACCATATCGCATTGAGACGATGCTGTGCGGCGTGGGGGCCACTGTCCCCGTTGCGCCCGCCGCCAGCCCCGTGGGCGGCAGGCCCAGCGGATACGCCGCTGTAACCAAAGGCTGCTTGCGGACCACGGCGGTTCCATCACCATGCCCAGCACCAAAGGGACCAGTGGCCTCACTGCCTTCCAGAGGCAAGCTTGTAGACGAGGGTGGCTGCAGCGTTACATCGCCAGGACGCGCTCCAAACGCATGAAAGCTGGGTGACGGACCCTGGTCGGTGGCTGAGGATTGGCCGTCACTGTGAGCTGCGCCAAAGCCAAAGCCGCCAGAGTCTACAGAGGCACTGATGGCTGCGAGGGCCCCAGGTGTTGCGACAAGGCTGGTACAAGGACTTGCGTCCACCAGCCAGCTTAGGTCCTGCATGCGTGGCAGGACCAGGGAAGAATGGGTACGAGGGTCGCAAGCGGATGTGAAATCTAAGCTCCGGAAACGGAGAGTATTGAAAGTGCCGCCTGCGGAAGCCTCATCGGCAACATGGCGAATAAAATAACTCAAGCATGAGAAGGCCACGCTCTTGCAACCTGCAGAGATGTAAACACACGGATGGTAACTTTCGTGACCCCCTAAGTTACGTAAACTTGTGTCCACGTGCTGTTAAACATATCATTGTGAAAAAGAATTGCGAGAGCCAGAACATCCTGAGCGCAGCGTTTCCCGGTGGCGCACCGGCGGACGCTTGGGTGTCGGATCCGTTTCAGTAGGCGCGCCGTTGGCTGTCATCCCGTGGATGTCATCCCCCTGGACCTCCTGTGGCTTCTCGTCACAGAGCTCCACTTTGACGGGATTCTCGGAAGCAGCAGTGGATGAGACAGTTGCCATGCCCGGCTGTCCGTCCTGGATGTAAGAACGCACACGGGGGGGCCAGTATGTCAAAGCGGGTTGTATACGCAACTGTCTCGCGTCTGGCCGTTGCCTTTAAAACTCGTGTGGCTGTATGGGCTGTGCAGTTGCAATAAACGCATCATGCCCAGAAGGCAGATTGATTAAGCCCAGGAGGCGACATGACCGCACCAGCCAACCGTGCACTTGTATCCCCCGCGCGCACCTTGGTGTGCAACGCCGCTGCACTGTCTGGCGTCGGCACACGGGAAGGCTGCCCTTCGGCTTGGGCGGTAGACAAGTCAGAGCGTCCACGCACTACCGCCCCTTTCGCTCCAGTTGCACCAGCTGCGCCAGAGTGCTTCGCCAACGTGGGTGCCGGCTTCCCGCGCTGAAGCTGGGGCCCAGAGCCACCATGCGTGGGCCCTGCGGGCTGCCTTGCGACAGCTCGCGGCTGGCATGGCTGCAGCACCGGTGCCTTGCGCGCTGGCGGCCGGTCTGGTTGTGAAGTTAGTCCCTGTATGGATGCCCGTGCACCGACAGTTCTTGCCATCAGCTTGCCAGGCGGTGCCGGGCCGGTGTTGTTTGCCGCCGCCGCTGGCGCATCAGTGTTCGCAGCCGTCGGCTCCTGGACGTGTGCTGGGTTAGAGCTCGTGCGGGCCAGCAGCACTTCGTAGTGGCTGCGGCGATGCGTTCGCTCCTGTTCCACGTTGAGTCTGGCGGTCTGGGCTGCAGCCTCCGGCCGCACGGCCGCACCAGTAGTGGCCAAGGCGCTGCTGCGGGGCAGCGGCCGTTGCGCATTCCTCGTGTTGTCCTCCGTCACGGTGGTGGGTCCCTGGGGAGCTGCGGCGCGGCCGTGCTGCGACGCAGCGTCGCCTATGCGGTTCCCAAATACAGTCGACGGCTTGACCTTGGGCGCTGCAGCAGCGGTAGGGGGCCCGGCAGCGGCTGCGACGGCTTTCGTATGCTTGCCACCGCATGCAATGCTTACAGGCACGGTCGTTGGTGCCTTCTGCGCACCGGCACCGCTGCCGGCTGTCGTCTTTGCTGGCGGAGCCGCTGTCGCCCCTGTTGCTTTGGAAGCACAAGCTGCGCTGCTGCTGCTGCCTGCAGCAGCAGCAGGAGCGGTGGTAGTGCCCGACAAGGGCTTGTGCACGGCGCCTGGGCGAGCAGATTGGGACCGCGGCACCACATTCACACCTGCAGCAGACGCGCCTGTCGCCAACCTGGCTGTTGGTGGGCGGCCAGTATCAGCCGCAACACAGGCGACAGTTCCAACAGCACGCCCGGCGGTTGTGGCAGCGAAGTCAATCTTGGCTTTAGCCTTCATTGTACCGCCCAGCACTGCCCGAGCAGACATTGCAGGTGGGTCCCGTGCAATTTCCTGACTCTCAGGCTGTCTTGGCAGCTGGGGGACACCTAATGGACGCTTAGCGGCTTGCACCTCGGCCACGGCAGCCTGTGTGCTCGGTGCCGCGGTCGTAACCGGCACCATGCCGGACAAGTGGACCGAAGAGAGCCGCCGCGCAGGGGGCGCGCCGCCCGGGGCCCCTGGACTGCGCGTCAAAACGGGCTGGTGCCGCAGAGGCACCAGGTCTGCAGCGACGGCGGCGCTGGAATTACACGGATGCGGAGTCCCAGTGGGCGACTTGCACGGCGCCAGGCGCTCGAGGTTGAGCTTCGGCACGAGCGGAATCTGCACCGGCGCCTCCACCATTGACAATGCAGTGATCGCCGGTGGCACCAGCACCTTGAGATCCGGAACGCCCGAGGTAAACTGCGACGGGATCTGCAGGGGCACATGCTCCGTTGCTGCGCCGCCAGCGAGACTGCTCCTTCTTCGGCGTGTACTCGCTGATAGAGAGCGATTGCTCTTTCCTACCAGAGGTCCCCGGAGCGCCGGGCTGCTGGACGGCCGTCCTGTACACCGCAGCGCACCAACTTTGCCACCCGCAGACGTCACGCGCTCGGCAGCGCCTGCTTCTAGTGCAGCGACCGGATTGCGCTCCTGGCGGGCCCGCTTGGATGGAGACGTGACGGGAGCCGCCGCCCGCTTGGTGGTTGGCAGCTTTTCAGGGCTGTTGCGGGAAGCCTCGATGGTGGCCGGTGCAGCCTGCGGCTCTGGTGTGGCCTGCGCGTTGCTGTACCTGCCTGCTGCTGCACCAGACACGCTTGCTCCGCCGGCGCTGCTAACGCGACCCAGCCTCACCTGGGGGTGAATCTCTTCCCCATCAGGCTCACCTTCCTTGCCAGTATGGGCATTAGAAGAAACCTCCGCTGCACGCTTGCTCTTGGTTTGCTTTCCGGTCTCCTTCAGGGCTGCCGTGGGAAACCCTGCTGCAAGGCTCTTTCCAGTGTGCACCGCAGCCGCGCGGGCTCCCCCAGTTGCCAGTGCCGCCTTAGTAGTTGCCGAAGCGGCATTCGCAGCGGATTGCCTGGAGCCAGCACCAGCCTTCACGGCAACAACACCCAACGAATTGCGTCGCGCGCCCGGCGCATCACCCGTTGTGCCATTCTGACTGCCAACAGCAACCACCTTGGTTTCTGGGTCCCCAGCTTTCGCAGTAGACGATGGCTTCGAGCGGGCTGACCGCCTTGCGCGCGGCTGGTCAGGCGCCACCTGTATCTTGGCCGATGG